TTGTGTTTGGGGGATTTTTTGTGCCATTGTGTGATTTAGTGTGTGTGTGTGGGTGGGGGAGGACGGGGATCTCTCTTTCTCTCTCTCTCTCTCTCTCTCTCTCTCTCTCTCTCTCTCTTTCTCTCTAACACTCACCTCCTTTGAACATACTGACTTAATAATGCTGCCCAGACATGTGGGCTGAAGAAAGATAAGGATTAGGGGGCGGAGGGAGGGTAGACTTGTTGATTCAGAAAACAGGAAATATCCTCCTACGCTTTTTTTTTAAACACAAGCTGCTCTGGGCCATTACATTTCAGGGGGGCAAAAAAATAATCGAAGCCTTTTAAATGAGATATTATGTGTTAGCCTCACGTGGATCCTGATGATATCTTGTAAGAAATGCTGGATTTAGGAAGAAGAGTTTTTGAGGGCTAGAAACCAGTCCAGAATCGTATGGAAAGTCAGAACGTGAGTATTATTGTGAGTATTATAAGGGCATCTTATTAGAGTGACTTCGCCCCACCTGGTTCTTCGTGGGCGACTTTCAGCGAATGACGTCAGGACAATCTTTGTTCTGTCTGTGTTCCTAGGATTTTCTATTATTCGCGTATTATACCTGCTGTCTCTGGTAGTAGGAGTCATTGATTTTTTGAAAACATGAACAGAGATACCGGCTATATGATATCATCATTATTTTAGGTGCTATGTTGGCCTCCAGCTATTCGGTCTGTATTTCAGGGACCTCGTAAACAAAGGTCGGCAGGAACAAAGTCGTCAATAAGTTATTGTGAGGGGGTGGTTCTGGGTGGACGGAATAAATTAATAGCTAAGATACCAGTACTGCGTTCAGCCTCACAGCCTAGAATAATATAATTAATTAAATATTTCATATAAACTTAGATCAAAAGTGCTATGTTTTACATTCGCTGTCGATTTAAACCCATAGGGTAGAAATTATTTGATATTTCTTATGTTTATCAACACCATGATCTTTGCAAAGGTTAGCATTAAGAATAATAAATGTGTGGCATCGTGGTGAACCCCGGAGATCGTCAAATAAATCGAAGAAAGATTTTCCCGCTCGTTGGACATTCTTTTCAAAGTTGTTTTGTGAGGTAGCTTGGTGAAATTTCGTCAAAACAATGTAATCAAGGAAACCTGCATGTTTTGGTTTGTTTTGTTTATTTTTTTGGCCGTTTGGAAATTCTTTTTTTATTATGTATTATCTTTCATGCCCATTTAAGAACACATTACTATGTGCAGTTTACTGAAAAACGTTGATCAAAGGCTCCAAAATTGTAAATTTGCAGTTTCCAAAGGCACTCAAGCTTTTAGAGTCAACAAACTTTGGTGGCCATTTTCTGGCTAATTTCACCTCTGAGATTGCGCGACTCCTACCTCCTTCAATTTCAGATATCTTGATTTTTATTCGAGATGATCGGGTATAATTTTTTCATCAAAAGCAAGATAAATTATTTTGTCTTTGATATATTTTGCTTTTGCTGTTTTTTGTTGTGTTTTTTGTTGTCGTTTTGTTTTGTTGGTTGGGGGTGGGGGGGGGGAGAGTACGCTTGCATGTTTGTTTTTTATGCTTGTTTGCGTGTGTGTTTATTTTTTATGCATTTTTGTTCGTTTATTTGCTTTGTTTCTTTGCTTTTATGTTATTGTTTTGTGGGAATTAAGTAATTTCAAGTTGGTGTACATTCAAAAATCTACATTCAACACACTGAACACAAAGCTTGTTCCAGTTGTTAAGAAACTGGGAAATAATTTTCTGTTGTCTTTCTTAGAATTTGAATAAACTTTAAAATGTCGATCAAGACAAACCGGAAGTAACCTTGATACAACTTGTGCAAAATGGTGCTAATGGCTGATTGGTCGTATCGATGACACAGCCCAAGCCGCAAAGGCCCACTCCGATTCCGGAAAGAAAGAACAGCAGCTTTGCTCTCCGCACACCCGTGGCGGTCAGACGGACAGATGCAGTTTTTCTTCACCGCGCATGCGCACCATGGCTCCAGCACGGCTTTGTCCACGAAAGGCTCACGGTGGAAAACTCCAAAAGTGGCTTTAGCTTGAGAGAGGCCCAGGTAGGCGCACGGCTCGTCCCCGAAGAAGTGGTACATGGCCACGTCAGTGCGATAGGGAGAGTCAGCGCCACTGCCTCCCATCTGCACGCCCCTGTCCTGCGCCTGTTGCAGGAGCCTGGGTAGAAGTTGGGGGTCCGGCCGGAAGCGAACTGACGCGTCCATCCACACAACCAGTTTGGACTGAGGAATATGAGCTTTGATCATGAGTGGCTTCCACGAATAACACTTAAGGTTTCTCACAAACTCCGGAAATAGATGAAAGGGAAATTTCACAACTTGACACTGACAATATTTTTTCATTTGTAGATGTTCTTCTTCAGATAAGCCTATGTCATAGAAAATAAGAGTAAAGTTTCTTAACCGAGGAAACACATATGTGTGAAGATTTTTCATCAAAGCTTGGGACTCAAAGAAGTGGTTGGATGAGGCAGCGGTGAGAAGTATGATCTCATATCTCCCTTCGATCTGACTCGCCATTTCTGCCATCGCCTCTTTGTATTGAGGTGAAAGTTGAAATTTTGGATTCCCAACTAACTGCTTCACTCTATCCCTGAAATTCTCTGGCAGTTCAGTTCGAAGGCAGCCATCTTTGCTGCAATTACTCCCAGCTATTTGCTCCGGGGTCTGGCACGTGGGTTTGAACCGGACCTCCTTGGAAATGTTTTTCTTTGCAACGAGGAGCTTTTCTCCAAGAGCTCGAGACAGAGCTTCCATAGAGATATCTGATGGAGACCAATTCAAAATCTGTCTAGTTCCCAAGTTCGATAGCCCGTGGTCATCATCCTCGCCCTGTTGTTGTTGCATGCTGTACCGTCCTTCTGCAAGAGTAACAGAATGTGGTGAGTTACTATAAATGGGAATAACTTCTAATTTGACTGTGTGTTTTCCTAAAGCTACTGCAGAGTTTAAAGCCATAATTCAAAATGTTTGCAAAAGTATACATTTTTTTTCTTTTTGTTCGTTTTTTCAGTTGTGCATTTGAAAGTTCAACCAACTAATTAATATAGATTGTAAAGCGCATAGAGCTTGCTTTGGGCGGAAATTTGCGCTTTATGAATGCAATCTATTGTTATTGTAGTAGTAGTAGTAGTAGTAGTAGTAGTAGTAGTAGTAGTAGTAGTAGTAGTAGTAGTAGTAGTAGTAGTAGTACTAGTGGTAGTAGTAGTAGTAGTAGTAGTAGTAGTAGTAGTAGTAGTAGTAGTAGTAGTAGTAGTAGTAGTAGTAGTAGTAGTAGTAGTAGTAGTAGTAGTAATATTATTATTATTATTACTATTTTTGTTTTTTGTTTTTTATATTATCATTATTAACTAGGATCATTCATAGCTTTTTCGAGTACATACACGATAAACACACACACACACACACACACACACACACACACACACATGCACACACACACAGAGACACACACTCACACACACACACACACACACACACAACATACACACACACAAATGCACACATTAGAGTATGCTCTTAATAATATATATTTTATATACGTATTATATATATATATATATATATATATATATATATATATATATATATTCGTATATTATTATTATGTGTGTGCATGTATGTTTGTGTGTATACGTTTCTTTGTACACGTGTTTGTTCCTTTTTATAGTCCTTTTAAGAAATTACGTAAAAAATCGTTTTCATCAATTGTTTGTTTCTGGTTTTGTTCTTGGGGGTCCCAAAAGACATAATTTTTAATTCAGCTTATGAAGAGATTAGACGTGTGCTTTGCGGCTGGTAACATGATCATAATATGAACAATCGGATTATCTAATTCATAGATGTCTTTTCAGTATCCCTTTCTTGTCCAAACCTAGAGGCGCGCAGCATCAAATATTGAATAAAGGTTTACCCAACAAAAGTCTGAAGAATTATTGAAAAATTAATTTGTAAGCTAGAGAGAATGTGAAACAAGGAACCGGAGAAGCAGAGAAAGGGTGGGGGTTGAATGGGAGAGAAAGATTATAATGGAATTTGAGAGATAAAAGAGATGAAAATTATTAAAGAAGTAATAAGAAAATTGGAAACACAAAAAGGAATAAAAACAATAAAGGAGGAAAGGGATCAAAATGGAAAAGGTGCAAAAATTGTTTTAAATCATATTTGTGAAGAAAGAAAGAAGTAAAGGAGCAAGAAATTTGTCTGTTTGAGTAAAGAGAGGTCGACACAAAAATTGCCCTTTATTGATGGGAAAAACAAGGCAGACAGTCTGAGAAGTACGATTAACCAATGATGCCTCCCATCCACTCGGGGAAGGAGAAAGAAAGAGAGAGGGAGCGAGAGAGACTACAGAGAAACAAACAAACACACAAATAAGCAAACGAAGATGGAAAGAAACAAACAAACAAGCAAAGAAACAAAGGAAGAAACAAAGAAAAAGATAAAACAGGAAAAAAAGAAAAAGAAAAAACAGGAAAAAAAGAAAGAAAAAAAGAAAAAAAAGAAAAGAAAGAAAGAAAGATGGAAATCAAACAACAAACATAATGAAGAGATTATCTACAAATCGCAGAGGAATATACCATTGTAAATAACAAATGCTTACACAACAAATTACCTTTCTTTTTCTTCCCTTCTTTCTTGACGTCATTCACCGCTTTGATCCCCGCCGCACCTGTGACGTCATCTGTCGCCATTAGCCACGCCTCCCCCGTGGGAACACCTATCGGGGTTAGACCACTCCCAAATAACGAGGCTGATTCCCGGAACTTACTGACCAGGACGAAGAACCAGGCAAGACAGAAAGTCAGCAGGATTGCCCGGGTCACATTTAGAACACCAGACATCACGGATGTCTGGATTTAGATTTCCTTTTTCGGTTGGCGCTCCTTCCAGAAACTCAGGACGCCATAGGGTAAGAGATTCTGTGTGTGGAACGAGGGCGTCTCATTGTGAGGTTCATCTGAAAGTCAAAGGGGAGAATTTTACAAAACAGTATTTAATGCAATCTATATGCGTAGCGGTATGGATGCATTTTGGCTGAAACTGTGTATTTACAACATGGACAAAAGTAAGAATAAGTCTTAAAGCAGAAGTGCCAAACTCAATCGCATGGGTGGGGGGAGGGGGATCAAACTTAAATTACACTTTAGCTTGCAGTAGTTGCAGTCAAAACTGGATCAACACACATTTAGCAGTGGAAAACTAAACCTTTTGATAAACAGTAATGTAAATCAAAAAAGAAAACACTTGAAACAATGAAAGAATAAACGCATCTTACGCCAGTTTGTCCTAGTTTGATGTTCGGTATCTTTTCTTTGCACCTAGTTCATTTATTTCTGGATAAAGGTTCTGTATTATTGAGCTTATCAAATATAGACTGCCTAAAACTTTTTAGCGGGCCTTGAGTTTGACACCTGTGACTGCTGAGATAGATAAAGGGAAAGACGAACGGGTCGCAAGATAGATGGGCAGACAAATGCTCGGAAGGTCATCAGGTAGACAAACATTGAATTATTAACAAGCGATCTGAATAACAGAGCTTGCTGATTATCGATCTCTTTTCCTCGCTCTCTCCCTCACTCCCCCGATCACTCACTCATTCTCTCTCTCTCTTTCTCTCCCTCTCTCTTTCTCTCTCTCTCTCTCTCTCTCTCTTACTCTCTCTCTCTCTCTCTTACTCTCTCTACTCTCACACACATACACAAGCATACACACACACACACACACACACACACACACACACACACACACACACACACACACTCACACACACAAACCACTGCTCCTTTGTCTTGCGTCTCTCTCTATCATTCTCTTTTTTTTTTTGCTCCTCTATCACTCTGCCTGTATCTCATCATCTCTCTCTTTCTCCCTCTCCTTTGGTCTTTTTCCCTTCTCTCTCTCTCTCTCTCTCTCTCTCTCTCTCTCTCTCTCTCTCTCTCTCCCTCTCTCTCTCTTTCTCTCTCTCTCTCTTTCTCTCTCTCTCCCCCCTCTCTCTCTCTCTTTCTTTCTCTCTCTCTCTTGGGATTCTCTGCCTCATCTTTACTCTCTCTCTCTCTTTCTCTCTCTCTCTCTCTCTCTCTCTCTCTCTCTCTCTCTCTCGAGATATATATATATATATATAACTCTAATTTTTTTAAGGGTACCCTGCTACAAAAATCTTAAGGACAAAAAAAGAAAAATAGTACCCCCTCCATATATTATGCTGGAAGCCACGATGCAAGTGATTGACAGAACCCCAAGGTTTCCAGATTCGAATCTGAGAAGAACTGCAGTATTCGTAACAGCCCTCTATCCTCCTTTGTAACCTCTTCCCACCATACCCCAACTCGACACTTGTGGCTGAAATAGTACAATTTTCCGATAACCGAGTGATTTGTAAGCTCAACCTCTCACAGGATTTTACAAATAATATCAAGCAATTCTGTTAACACAATTAATTTTAACGCCCATTAAAAGTAAGACGCCCTTACATCTTTCTTGATTCCAAACGTATAGACCTCGTAAATTCTTTGGAGCATATCAAGGAAGCCAAGATATGAAGAAAGGAGACTATGTGCTTTGGCAATCTACTCCCGCTAGATCTCTGTCTAAAGCCCAGGAAAAGCCGTGTCATGCATACAGTTTTAAGGTTTGTCTGTCAAGACTCAAAAGTCCATAGTTTTGTCTGATGACACGATATTAAGGGGGGGGGGGGGGGGGGGGCTACACCTGGAGGCTATCTCGCTTATTACTGGACCGAATTTTACCAAATTTCACACTTATAACAAGCATAGTAAGGAGTCTTAAAATCCGCAATCAAATTTGAGAAAAAAGTTTCGTTTCCATGGATAAGCCGCCATATTGGATTTTATTGACATGTCTTACGTAATGAATACCGCACTTATTACTCATGGAAATTAATTGGGTTTTTGCTGGCGTGTTTACAAACATTAGATCTAAAAATCTGTCCGTTGTTTTTTCCCTAATCGAATTAGAAAATTTTTAATGAATTTTTTCCTGAGGTAGCATTCAAGTTTGCGAAAAATCCGTGAAAATCCACACTCCAGACACCACCAACAAAAATCTATTCCATATATCAAAATTTTAAAAGACAAATTTTAGTATTACCTCTTCTCTTCATTCTGTGAAAATTTCATGGAGATTGGATGAAAAATGGTGGAGTTATTCAAAAAAGTATAGAGAAAAGTCGCATTTTGATAAAACGCCCGATAAAGAAAAATAAAATACTGACTTTATGAGGAAATGACGGTTACAAACATGCCCGATATGGGAAAAAATACGGTTTTTTGGGGTTCTTATACCATGAAATAGTTGTAGGAGAGGCTGAGGAAGCTAAAAATGCCTACATCTCAAATTCCATGATTTTGAGCCGAATTTTGATTTTGGGGGTGTAGCCCCCCCCCCCCCCCCTTAAATTATGTTGTGGTCACTGGAATATGTCCTTATAGAACACGACAAAATAAATAGTCATAGACCTCGCTCAGAAAACTTGGCACTGCACATTGATCTTTGACAAAGCACAAGAGAGGAAACTGATCGCTTGCGAAGTGAATTTTTTTTACATTGTTTTTTTGGGGGGGGGTTTTGGTGTGTTTTTTTTGGGGGGGGGGTAAGTGTTTTACGGTGCTTGCAGCTACATGAAGTCATATGAGCGCTTTGGACACATTAAACTTTTTTCAGTATGGAAGGATTAATTTTTAATTTTGCCCGGGTGGCGGCCACCAAGGGATCTTTAGCGTTAAAATTTGCTCATGGAACCTCTGAGATTTTTCGCCCTTATCCGAGCACACTAGGTATTACCCTGAGATCAGGGGTGTGGCTGAAAAACAACAGTATGAAGGAGCTGA